GCCATCAATTGTCCCCGCTAGCGGTACCTGATGGGGGCGAGGGGATGGCAACAGGGTGCCTTGGGAAGAAAAAGATTCAAGAGGTGATGTCACCATGGATTTGGAGATAGACTGGCCTTCCCTTCACATCTGGTGTAGATCGCTACGTCGTCAGCAAGCTCTGTCGAAGGGGATCAAGCGATGTGTGAAAAGACTAAAGAAATTAGAATGAGTAACGCGGTCAGTGTGAGGATAAGATATCATGGGCGGGGCGGTGCGTGGGCCCCATGTGAGATGTTAGGATATGATCTCAAGTGAAAAAGATATGAAGGCCGTATATGGCGATTTTGTGTTTGCACATTACTACTATAGCCTTCATATCCATATGAAGTGTGCTCTATAGATGATATGACGGCCGCAGATATGATGACTCTTCTTCTATAGTTGGAGACTACAAGCTTGTGTGTCAATCGAGACAAAGATAAATTTACTTTCTCTAGATATAAAATATATACTTTTGTTGGCACAAGGATATTGCTCCTTAAAACCAGCGGCGTAATCAATTGGTAAAAGCTACCCCCTAAAGAAATATCAGGGTGTTTATAGATCACTTATACTGTCTCCGTCCAATAATATAACATGATTTTTTTACACTACACACTAATGTAAAAAATGATTTTATATTATAGGACAAAGGGAGTATTTGTTTACACATGGAGTAAAAGTTTTTATCCGATTGGGGCAACACACCAAGAGCAGATCACCGAGCGAGCGTTGCACTGAAGCCAGCCACTTGGTCCCTCTTGGCCCAGCCACGAGGCCTGGGGAGGGCGGTCAAAAGCCACGAGCACCACCACCACCACCACCACCGCCTGCGACAGAATTTTTACCACGCAGCAGCACCACCAGCAGCAGTAGGTACCACTCGCACTCGGGCGCCCTTTTTCTTTACCGTGCCCGAGAGACGTCCCGTCCGGTTTCACCGCTGCGCCCTTTGTTCGTTCCCCTGACGCAAGATCGATCGGACGAGACGAGGAAAAGAAGCCGGGGCTTCGCTCGGCGGGTTACGGACAAAAGGCGCGATCAGTGTAATCATGGCCCCCAGGATCTCGCGTCCCCGTAGCGGGGGCACTCGCCAAGCACGATGGCCGCGCCTCCACGCCCCACCCCGCCCCAACCCCAAGCAAACCTCGATCGTATTTTTCTCTCGGGAAAATTAGAGCCAATTTCACTTTATTTTTGCTCCACACGCACAATTACTTGGAGAGCACACATCATGTGACCTCCATAAAGATTTGTACAAACGGTGCGGGTGGGTCTACGAGGACGCCAGGGTCTTCAACCGCCCAGGTGAAAGGGAAATCGTCGTCAAACGAACGCCTGTCGCCTGGCGTCACGAGAATCCTGCTGCACCCGGCGGTCTTCATTTTTCCTTTTCCCGGTGCCGGACGCGGACGCAGATCTTCTCCCCTTTTTTACCGCGGTGAAAGCGGGGGTGAAGTGGGAGCGGGGCAAAGGCGGGGCGGGGTAGAAAAAGCGGCGAGCGGCAGAGCGTGGTCACTCACGCCACCCCCATGGGTCGGGTCGAGTCGCGATGGTGGCAGAGGCATCGATGCCGCGGCAGAGGGGGTGGGCGCGGCGCCCGAGAATGCACGAGCGGGCTGCCTCTCACGACGATCGCGCGCAGTTCTCCGCATTCCCCACCTTATTTTAATCCCGGATTGACGCGCCACCGGATAGAATACTCTGCTTGCTTACTGGATAGACGGGCCCCCACCCTGGGAACCCATGGGCCCCGGCCCTCATCAGTCCTCGCCTTGTTTCGGCCAGGTGAATGATCGGCGTTCGGCTGTGCATCATGGCGTGCTCCCTCGCCCAAATCCAAAGCTCCTTCGTCGTTTCCTCCGGCGAGAATCTTCCCGACCGGAATCATGGCGGATCACAGTAACAGCACCAGCGCCACACAGTTCGGCTCACTCAATTCATCATGCCGCAGAGCAGAGTGGGGAAAAACATGGCATAAACTTGAATTATTGCTCATCATAGTTCATCATCTCTTCAATAGCAATAGCAATAGCAATAGCAATAGCAATAACAAGCACCATCCATAAGATTATATAACAACTCTTCACTGGCAAGGTAAGTCTTAGATTGATCAATTCCTACAGGCAAGCAGAGAACAGCCGGCGAGAAGCCTCGCCGGACGATCCCCCTCTTCTTCTCTTACAGCTGCTGCTACTAGTACTAGTCGGCGGGAGGGGGTGAAGCGTCACCAAAGCTCCACGGCCTCCTCATGGCGAGAACAAAAATTACATGGCAGGGGGGTCAAAACTCGAAATTAATGGAGGATGGATGGTGCTGCTAGGGGATGGGAGTGTTTTTTTCTCTTTTTTCCGAAACAAAAAAACCCCGGAAAAACGAACACGGAAACACCAAAAACTGGATCCGCCAACGGATCGAAGCGCGCCGAGGAGAAAGAAACGGAAAAGGCGGTGGGTGGAAAAATTGGGGATCCGTCCATCTACTGGCGGTTATTTTGTCCGCCTCGCCTCGCCACGCTCAGAGGACGGCGGCGAGCCCCGTGACGACCTTCGCCCTGGGCTGCTGCTTCTTGCTCGCCGCCTCCTCCGTCGGGCGCCACGGCGATACCACCACCGTGATCTTCTCGCCGGGGGTGGACGAGACCCCCCCGCTCTGGTTCATGCCGAACAGCAGCTCGAACTCGCCGGAGAAGCTCGCCGCCGACACCGCCGTCGCAGTTGCAGTTGCAGAGGCGGCGGGGGACGGGGCGGCCGCCTTGTCGCCGGTGCGGACGTGCGGGGACAGCCACTTGGCGCGCATGTACTCCGGCTTACGCCATGGTGGGAAGTGCAGCCCCTTCTTCTTCATGCTCTGCCGCGCCGCCTCCGCCACCACGGACACGATCTTCCCGAGCCGGTCGGACGTGCCAACGAACAACGGCGGCAGCGCCTGGAGCGCCGCGCGGTACGCCTTGGTCGACCGGGCCACCTCGAACTCGGACCTGAAGTGCACCTCCACGATCAGCCTCGCTCCGTCCCCAACAACGGCGTCGATGTACTCGTGCTCCCCTGCGTAGACAGACAGGTCCGGTAAGCCCCTGCCATGCCATGAAAGGGGAATACGCCGAGCTTAATTAGGTGAATCGAGGAGGACGGGATGTGTACCAGCGGGGTAGGACTTGGTCTTCTCCCAGCGCGACTTGCAGACGGCGGCGTCATAGCCGAGGGCCCTGAGGCCGTCGGCGACGGCGCGGCGGCACTCGGCCTTGCCCTTGCAGGTCCTGCCGCACCGCTCGGCGATCCTGGAAGCGTCGGCGAGAAGGTTCCGCTCGGCGACGCTGGCGCTCTGCACCAAACTCTGCACGCAAAGGGAAAGGAGGCAACCGCCTCGTAAATTCGTTGCGGCTTTTCCCAATTTGGGAGGGGTTGGCGTGCCATGCGGAAATTCCAGTAGTACCTTGAGTGCCTCCAGGGTGTCGCCGGCCGCGGACGGGGGAGGCGCGGAGGCCTGGCCGGAGGGGAGGAAGAAGCCCTCCTCGTCGTCGCTCTCCTCGTAGTTGCTGCCGTTGAAGCAGTTGCAGCGGCCGCGCGGCGGGCGCTCGACGGCCGCGGAGTCCTCCATGAAGCTGAGCACCATGCGGTCGAGCCCCACCGAGCCGACCTCCGCCTCCCCGCTGCCCACCGGCCTCTCCTCCTTCTCCCGCTCCTTGCCGTCCCCGGCCACCGCGAGGCGCTCCGAGGCGGAGACCCTCACGAGCAGCCTGCGGAGGCGGGAGACCCTGGGCGGCGCGAGCGGCGGCGGCGGCGGCGGCTTCCCGTCCATGGCGCCGTGGTGGTGGCCGGCCTTGAGCTGGAACGGCATCGATCGCGTGAATCCTAACCACTACCGCAACCACGCCATCCCCAATCCCGAACTCCAACCAACCACACCAGCGCAGTTACACACCACCACCACCAGTCCCGACTGCAACCACCGCTCCTACCACACACACGCA